CCGGGCCCTGCTCCCCCCGGGCCCTGCTCCCCCCGGGCCCTGCCCACCCCCAGCTCCCGGGATTCCTGGGTTTAAATGGCCCTTTGAGTGTAAATCCCGGCGGTTCAGATCCCGGGCTGCTCCCGGCCTGGGAAGGGCAGTGGGAGAGCATCAGGTGTGGGCACAGGGCGGGGAGCACGTTGGGTGTCAGAGGGAAGATCCCTCAACACATCCCTGGCTTCCTCCCGGGACGTGAGAGTTTCCCCTGGGAATTTTAAATCGGGACTTTTGTTTTGGCAATCTACCTTCTCCTAGAGCTGTAAATGCACCAAGAGCTGAGCTGCTGGGACCATCCAACGGTCTGACCTCGTTCATTCGATATACGCTCTAAATTATATATCATCATCCTGCAAAGCTGCCTTCTGCTGGGGATGGGAGAGGCAGAAATCCCACTGGGGACATTCCTCCTGCGTGGACACACTGGGCTCTGCCTGCTCCTGGGGGTCTGCTCTGAGCAGTTCCACTCACGATGAGACCCTCGTGCTGCCAAATATCACCCGTCTGTGCAACCCGCTGCCAAAGCATCGCTGCTGCCATGGGCAGAGCATGGACAGCACAAGGGCTGGTCCCATCTTCCCTCTCTGAGGAAGCTTTGGGTCAGAGGATGTGCCACCAACCCTCAGCGCCACAGCTGAGCAGAGCCAGGCCAGCGGGCAGACCCAAAAGGCAGCGGAATTAACAGAATTTGAGATCTGTACTGGGATCTGTGCGGAGTTCTCCATTTTAGAGGGGAACAGCTTAGAGCCCTGGAGACCTGCACCTCCACCGTTCACCAATGCGCTTCCCAGGGCCATAAATTCATATTTGACCATCAAAGTGAGGCAGGATGAGCCCATGTAAGCTTCTGCCTGAACTAGAGAGGATGACAGTTGTAGCTTAAATGCCTTCATCTTACCTTCTGGCTCTGGGCAAAGTCTGACTCGGGGTGTCTGTCCTGGGATGCTCGTCAGCGCTGTTCTCTGTGCTTGGTGAGGAGAACGTTGGTGTCTACAGCTGTTGCTCACACAGGCTCGTGCGTGTGGCCCACAGAAGATGCTCCAGTCTCATCCCTCTGTCCTGTTGTGGTGTAGAGCTTTCTGGTAGCGTGCTTTTCTGGTCCTCCTCAGGATTAATTTCAAGCCTTGCTTCCTGCAGGGAAAGACAAAGAAGATGTGGTTGTCCCAACATCGGGGGGCAGGTACGACGTGTACCTGAAGAAGAGGCAGCGCGTCGCCGTGTACTGGGAGGAGGAGGTGTCTGAAGTGCGCCGCTGCACCTGGTTTTACAAGGGAGACAAGGACAATAAGTATATTCCCTACTCAGAGTCCTTCAGCGAAGAACTGGAGGTAAATACACCCTTCCTGGTACCATCCATCTCACCAAGAAGCATCTTGGCTTCTCATTGTCAAACACCAGCCCCAGCGTCCCGCGCACTCACACAGGCTTTGGCTTTTCACAGCTGATTAACTGAAATGCAAAGGCTGCCACTGCCTTCCTCCCAGCTGAGCATCCTCCTCTTCCTCTTGCCCTGGTCCCGCCGCGTCAGCATCCTTCTGCTGCGCCTTACAGTGCCGGGCGCTCTCGGCACGCCGCGCGGCTCTGGCCTTGCTCTACCAGCTTTGCTCTGTTTTTTCCTGACCCTGTCTGCACTGACTTTGGTTTGACTGTCCTCGTGAGAATCACCCTCCCCTACGCTCACAGTTTCACCAAAGCCAGCAAATTGTGAATGAAAGAAAGAGAAATCACTGTCACAGGGACTCACTGAGCGCTGTGGCGCGTTAGTGAGTTCAGTGGGCTGTGCTGTTAATGGCTGGAGATTAATGCTGTTAATCTTTTCTTTGGAAAGATATATATATAAATATACTTCTTTACAATAACCTGTATTCTGATGCACCAAAAACCACAATTCTAAATTGATGGCAAGGCTGCTGCTGCTGCTATTAAAGTGGGAAACTCTCCAGCAGGTGATACTCAGGTTACCCTGTTGCTCTTCCAGCTTGACCTGGCTGATTTCTCTGCCTCTTTCGCAAAACGTGTTGATAAGAGATAGGGTAAAATGGGTGGGGAATGTTCCAAGTGGTTGAATATTGATGGGAACACTTTCAGCTGACTCACAGAGGGTGTTCTGTTCCTCAGGAAGCTTACATGATTGCTGTGACTTTGGATGAGTGGAAGAAGAAACTGGAGTCCCCTAACAGGGAAATCATTATCTTGCACAACCCAAAGGTGAGGAGGGTCTGGTGATCTTTGTGTTGACCAGCCAGGACATCCCTTCAGTTCTCTTGAGGGCCTGTCTTTAAGCTCTGGCTTTATGCTGTTTCTTTTAACCATCTCTGCTGAGAAATCAGTTCTGCCCAAGCAGCATTTCCCTCGCCTACCTGTGCCAGAGTAGAGGGCAACGCCAGCAGAGAGTCAGTGTCACACCTGAACATTTCTTTTCAACACACCTTTTGCTCTCTGTGTGCAAAGGGCAGTTAAACATCACGGTCTGGTACCACCCTGTACCACCTACCAGCTGTTGTAGCAGCTTCTCCTCTGCTTCAGCACAGTATGCAGCGCAGCTTAATGACAGGCTCTTCTTGTCTTCAAGCTGATGGTGCACTACCATCCAGTTGCCATCTCCGATGACTGGGGCTCAACCCCTACAGAACAAGGTCGACCTCGGACTGTGAAGAGAGGAGTAGAAAACATCGCTGCTGAGATTCCCAATGGTGAGCTCACTTCTCCCTCCCTTCCACCCATCCAAAGCTGTAGAGTCTGTTTTCCAACCTGTTTACTCAAAAAGACTGACAGGAGCTTCCATGATCCTTTAAACGAAGCGCAAATCTAAGAGTTTTGTGCTGAAAGGAACTGAATGGTTTTCAGAAACCTTCCCAGCACCAGGGAGCCTGCAGCATAAAGGAACGAGCAGACACGTGGGGTGCACGGGGGTTTATCACTAACCTACACGTTGGTGACTTGCTGGGGCACGTGTTCTCCCCGTCTCTGAAGCTGAGCGTCAGCTCTGCCCCCTCCCAGCTGTCCCCGAGCCCCTGGTCAGGCCTCAGGACTCGTCCCCGTGGTGAGGACAGGCGGTTACTCCTGTCTAACCCCTTCATTTGCCATGCGTGCACGCCTTCAGCAAAGTACCTACGCAAACTGAAGTGTGTGGGAAGTGGAGAACGAGAGGTAACTCCACCTGGTGCCTCCCTGAGAGATGCAGAGACGTGGGGCTGGGGGCTCAGCAGAGCACAGGGCAGCTGCACCCAGTCCTCGTGGTTGAGCATCTCACCATGCTGAGCGTGTCCCACTTGAGGACCATCCACTCCTGCTGGAGTGAGGATGGTGACAGAAGCGGGGACGAGCCACCTCGCCATCCTCTACTGTCCTGTCAGTCCAGATCCATCCCAGGG